TGTAATTCTGTGTAAAATAAGTTTTTCGAAGAGCTTAGCAAATGTAGGTAATAAACTGGGCGGTAAGAACACATTTTTAACTACAAAATGATTTTCAAATTTCAATTTGATGTGTATTGTCAAAATTTGAAATTTAAATGATATAAAAAAACCATGTTTATGGTTGTTTAATATGACGCTGTTATTAAGCTATAACGCTAAGGGGCCATGAAGTCGTCTGAGCGACGTCTTATCTTTCGCTATTATTGCGATACCGATCTACCTGATGTAGTGATAATATTATTTTAGTTTTCCCGGCTCCTACTTATAAATATAAGCGGACTTATATGTTTGAAACTTCTTCTTTTGCATTTAGCTAGTATAACGCATGGTCGCATAAAGGTTGATGTTGATCTTGAAATTTATCACTGTTAAGAATGGGTAATTTTCCAAAATTTAATATGAATACTGATTATCCACTAAATTCAAGATAATATAAATAAAAGCTGACTTGTATGTATCCTAATATTTCTTTTTCGTTAACCCAGTAAAATGGATGGTCGCAATACGTTATACATTGGTCTTGAGTGTTATCAGTTTGAAGAAAGAGTAATTTTTCAAAATTTCACTTTCAAAAAGAATATCCAAAACTTATTAAAACTTCTTCTTCTATAATATCAAGGATTATCGCAATACGTTATACATTGGCCACAACCATTTTCCGTGGATAAACAGTGTTATATTTTTAAAACTTAATTCGAAAATTGATTACTACAAAAATATACCATTGTACATCACACGTATTGAAGTACGAATATTATGCACATTGCACATAGTCTGTGGTGTACTATAGTGTCTGTTCAGTGTCAGATAAATTGCACGCCGTATGACTGATACGATTATTATTATATTAGTCTGCAGCTAGAATCGTTGACGACAAGAAATCAAGAACCAAACACCATTTGGCATTTCACTATTTCAGGTATTTGAATAATTTAGACGTGTCGTTCATGTATATTAATGTTATACTCTAATATATATATATATGTTAAGGGCAAAAGTCAAAATCGGGAAAAACCCCAGAAATGCCCTGGCAAAACGCAAACTGCCCACAATCCTTGGGCAAAATGTCATATTTCGCCTTTTGGCCGGGCAAACCTAGTTATGACCAACCTCATTTGGGCAAAACCGTAGTGCCTTAAATACGTTCGTCAATATTAAATACAAATAATCATAAAATAAATATTATTGTACAAATGTAATTGAATACATTTCAATAATAATAATAATACAATGATTGAATGATATTAACTGGGTACTCGTATAAAAATAACAAGTAATAATATTAGGTAATCGTATGCGGGGTTGCACGAACAATCACTAAATATTTAATGAATCAATAGTGAGCTAATGGTCCTTTTAACATGATTTAGTGGCACATGACTGGTCCATTAAATTTTATTGGACCTTTAAATTATTACATTTTTCATGCAACCCGGCATTATTATGTTAAAATAAAGAATTAAAAAAATTAATACATTTAAACCACATTTGGGCAAAATCGTTAGAACGCGTCTTAAATAACTTCAATAATATTAAATACACATAAATAATAATCATAAAATATTGTAAAAATATAATCGAATACACATAAATAATATTAAATTATAATATTTTTGTTTATTTGTTGCTGCACATATTAGACTCGTGGCATTTAGAACTACACAAAATATTGTGTTGTTTACATTTGCATCTTCTCGAAGTGCATTTATAGTTTTGCAAAAACAAAAAATAAATCCTTGTCCCCCATTTAATAAATTCTGAATTCTAGCAGTCCTCAATGGTATTTCGATATTCAGTACATCATCGCTTGTAATTAGTTGTTCCTTGCGCTGAAACATTTGATTTCTGGCCTAACCTAGTGGTGACAAAATTCCATTTTTGATTCCTATTTTATAGAATCCATTGTCAGTAGTAGGTACCTAATATAACACCTAACACATTATTTGCATGGACTTTTCCTCTATCAACACAAGGCCTGGAAATTTCACTGTCGTTTCGACTGTTAGAGGTGGGAATTGATTTTTTAATAAATTAACAAGATATGTGTGGTCATTTATAATTATAATAAAATCGTATCATAAAAATCACTATTTGTATTAAATATTAGCGAACGTATTTAAGACACTACGGTTTTGCCCTTACGATAAAAGTCCGTCAACGGTTTTGCCCAAATGAAGTTGGTCATAACTAGATTTGTCCGGTCAAAAGCCGAAATATGACATTTTGCCCAAGGGTTGTGGGCAGTTCGCGTTTTGCCCGGGCGTTTCTGAGGTTTGCCTCATTACGACTTTTGCCCGTAACATATATATATAATATATTATGATATATTATAACGCGACCGCGACGATGTCGCGAACACCGCGCTGGTCTGTCATGACATGGTTGGTTTGTGAGGGAGACTTTATCGGGTTTGCAGTGGTCTCAAAATATCAATATAGTATAGTCTGGATGATTATGAGTAACAACGTTTGTTACATTATAATATTATAATATTATACATTTTATATTATATGCTCATAGTATTTTTTAAATATATATATAAGCGGATAATAATACATAATATATATAATTCCTATATATGGTCTTTATGTATCTATTGTATTTACATAACGTATGCTGCACGGCGAAAACTGAGAAGTTCCGATGCACTAACAAGTTTTGTAATGCATTCGAGTATTTTGCATCCTCATTTCACGGACCACCACCATCAGACCAGATCAAGATCAATTATAAACGTAGTTCGATGTATAAACTAACAAAAAGTTTATTTCATTAACAATTTCATCAATTTTATTTATTTACATAAAAAAAAAATAAAAAAAAAATAAATATATTTATATAGGTATACTTTATACATTATATAATAATAATATTAAATAATAATACATTAAAATATATTGTACACAAACATGAGTGAATTATGGTAATCCTAACATTAAATGGTATTAACAGTAAATATAAATAAAGATATAAATACTTAAGAACATATTAGAAGTAGATGATTCAGCCAATCAAACACAGACACAATATTCATAATAGTATGCCTATGTAATTTTAGTTTAGCTAAATAACCTATAAATATATTAAGAAATAAAAGGACAATTCTTATAAGTTTATAACTGTCAAGCTATAATATTTTAATAAATAAAAGATATTCAAAAAATAATAATAATAATAATAATATCGAAAAAAAAAGACAATATAAAATAAATGTTGACGATCTTAGAGATTTTCAGTCAACCACAATGTCATGTACATATGCACATGCAGTGAGTGTGTGTGTACAGTAATACACATGTATACAGACTCTTAAAGCATATAATATATTTCGTTAGGTAGGTAATCATATCCCATTTGCCATCAAATCACTCATGAACCATAGTATAAAATATGTTCACGTTTTACCGTAACCATTGATTTTATAATAAAATTAATATTATAAAATCAATGATGAAACTAAACAAATAATCTTAACATCCTATGTTATATAGGGTTGCTGTTACTAAACAAATAATTCATAACATCCCATATAACTTAAATGCCGGTCAAGAGCGAGAACCAGTGGCATCAAAACATATGAATCTACTAAAACTGTGATAGGTGAGTAGGTAACGTTATTAAATTTCCTAGAGAATAAACTTTAGAGGGTATTCGGAAGAAAAATGAGGTGGATATTGTAATAATTAAGTACGTTTCATGTCTTTGTGCTATATTAATCGTAATCGTTGAGTACGAATTACTTTTATAATGGCAAATATTGTTTTCGGCTGGTTTCCCTATTCAGACGGGTACGAAAGTTTTTCTAAAAGTCCATCGTATGTAAGCAAATCATACATAATAATATATCTATTAATTTTTGACGTCTATAAGTTACAATACAAATATTTAAAGAGATGGTGAGAAGAACTGGAAACCTTCCGATTGAATGTTTAAGATTGAAAACACTGTGCCCAAAAAAATATAAGTACTGAAAAATGTCAACGTGTTATTATGGTTGGTGGTAAAAAGTACCAAGGTTTTCAAAACCGTAGGATTTCAATGGTCTAACAAAAACAAACTACACTCCGTAGTCCGTGGAGTACCTACACTCTAATAATTATTCAAAATAATAATGTTTTTTTTACCACTGGTCTACCCTGTGACCCACAAACGAGTTTACTCTCATACTGAACTACAGTAATAAAAAATATCAATTTTAAAAAATAATAACAGATTAGCTTTCGTACACGAGTAGCTCTCGCTCCCGTGTTGGCAATCCCACGAACTAGCCACTGTACCAAATATAACTAACATAACATTTATGTCATAAATCGCAATAATGCTACACTTAGGATTCAAGCAATACATGTATATAATATAGAATTCTCATTTTTAACTATATTATTATACATATTTATTATTATTAATACTAAAAATATAAATCATTGATAAGTTGTTCGATGAAGACAATGCGTGTACAATAATATCAAAATCCTGCAATTTTAATTAAAAACGAAAAGGAAATACAAACAACAACAATAACAATATAGTAATAATGTATATAGCCTATAGCAATGAAAATATTTGATAAAAAAAGATTATTATAATATATTATTATAATAAATAAATGGCTATAATTGTATTGTTCTTATTAATTTTTTATAGAATATGTTAAAAATGCTTTACTCCGCTTGTACTATTATACGAACGTACCGAACATAGACGTACATAGTAAAATACTAAAAAAATTACTTAAAATTACATACACATAAATATATGTATTTAAATAAAAAACAAAACTGACACTGTCTTAAGTGGTTACTGGTTTCTTTTTGATATTTACAATTATAAACGTCAAGACATTAACATATAAAATATATATATTATATATATGTGTTCAAATTATATATATATACATAATATTATGTATATAATTTATATATATATATACGAGAGTGAAATTGTCTGGATATTAGTGAGTTCCAATGTATAGTGTTTTGTCCTTTTAAAAATGTTTAGAGATGAATTCTGAGGGAGGCGGATAGGTAAATTGGCCGTCCTTTTGCGATTTTTTTTCTTCTGTTTTTTTGAGTAAGATGTGGACGACACGTAATTTTAGGTTTTTTCTTTTTGGTTTACAATTGCCACATTGGGTTCCTGGGGTTAATACCTTAAATTAAAAATAAAAATACATTATTCATCACTTTCGATATTTTTTTTGTTGTTTTTCAAATCTTGGTCTATTATGCGTATTGTGTAATATAATATACTACATACACAGCGGCATATACATGTTATATTATATTACTATAAGCATAATAAGGGGTACAAGTCATGGGTATAAGTAAGAAGCCTGTGGCCGTTATGTTAAGATGTTAGGTATATGTTGAACTGGCAGTGGGGCTAAATGTGTTCCTTGTATTATCGTAACAGCTCTCAATATGCTGGAATTGAATCTTAGGTGGATACTCACGGAGTAGGTAAATCAAGCATCAGACGGAAATCAAAAATCAAAATTAATGGGTTTTTGTATTTTGTTCAAAATTATTATTATCATCGGGCTATGTGCAAGGCTCAGTAAAAAGCACTATGACACACATCTCGTTTACTTTTTACCATTTTCAAAACTTAGAACAAATATAATAAGCGTTTCCGTATTTTTTTTTTTTTTTTTAATTATAAATTGGCGAGATTATATTTTTATTTTTAAAAATCCACAACTACTCGGAAAAAGACCATTCATCACCAAAACCACGTACAGTTTTTTCTGTCTTACATTCAAGCAAGTTCTTTGATTTAAGATATTAAGGTACCACATAAACACACACGCACACCACCCACAAGTTAGTACTTAGTATGGTGCACATAATATTATTATGATATTGTTATTATCGTCAACACAGGCGTGATGTCAGGATACATCAGTTATCTTTCCGTCTCGGACAACACCATTGTTATTGTCAATAATATACGTATACGAAAAGAGAGAAAACCGAAGGAGAACAAAATGGTTTAAAGACACGAGCTGCAGCAGCGGCGTCGGTAAAAGAGGAGATTAACACACCAACCCGAACGTCTTTTATTTATTTATTTATTTATTGTTTTTTTTTTTGTTTGCACGGCTATAATAATTGTTACGGAAATTTACGGATACCCAACTACTATATGAACTACCAGGCTGGCACGCAAGCCCCAACATCCCTCTCTGCAAGCCGTCTTTGCAAGACGTGTGCCGTACCGCCGCCAAAGGACAAACGACGCCGCGCCCCGTCCGCACACACACGATCCCTTAAATTTATAGAGTAATAAAACTGGGGTGAAAAAATAAAACTTATCCCTGAGTCCATTAAAAGAGCCGCGGTAAACGATGAGAACAAGCGACTAAAACACTGGACATCGTATACACGCGGGCAGTGACATGGGTATCATTATTATTATTATGCGAGGCCGGGCACGAGCGTTATTATATTTCGACGAATTGCATCTGACGGTTTTCGCAGGACACGTTTTTGAAATATTATCGAGTTAAATAACGATAATCGCGATACCACGAAAATCGATTCAGCTTTTTTTTCAAACCGAAAAACGTGCAAAAAAAGGTCGTCGAAACCGTGAAAAAAACTTTTTCCCTCTTTAAAACCCCACAGTTCTCTACTGCCGACGACGCGATCGTCGTGTTTGTGTGTTTACTCAACGGCAACGCAGCATAGTAATATTATATATTGTTATTATTATTATTATAAAGTGTGTCGCGGAGATGAGAAAAAGTCGACGAAATCACGTGTGTTTGACGAGTGGCACGCACGGGCCCGGCCCTTTATAGACCGATAACAATAATAATAATAATAGACGGTCGGTAAACATTGCGCGGTGGCGGAGGATGATCGTGAAGGGAAATAAAAATTGCAATAATAATACTGCACGTAAACTTGGGACGTATATAAATATATAAGACAACAGTATGAAAATTTTTTTCGCGCGCGTTTATCAAATGCTGTTCGGGAGAGTCTTTTAATGTTCACGATGATCGATGTGCGTGTGATATGTGCGGCATACTGCGCCTATATAATATATATATAAATAACCGATCGTGTATGCCTGGGCAAAAAAAAAAGTGACAAAACGTAAGCCCTAAAAAAAAAATACGCACGCCGCACACACTCTTCTATACGTATATCTATGTATACAATGGGTGTATATCGTGGCGAAAAAAGTCGCTAATGTTGCCGCTGCTGAGAATGTGATTTATCGGAATTGGCGTCGTAAAACGTTACGTCGCGGTGTCTGGCGAGTGTAGGTTGCAGGGTTAGGTTGCGTTGTTATTAGAACGTTATTATTGTCTAGTGAGGAGGATTTCTCGGGGACTGAGCAAAGTCTCTCGCCTTGTCTAGTATGTACGATGTCGTCGGTGCACCTGCTATTATACGGCTTGTACAGGTTTCTGTAAGAATTGTGCCTCAGTATTTTCGAGCTCGGTTGTGTAGTGGTGGTGGTGGTGTTTGTGACCATGGTTGTGGTTAATGACGGTTTGCAATCCTTACACTTATTCCTTGAGTGCGTGGATAAATCCAATGCCTGCGGCTCCATCAGCGTGGCCGTCACCATGGTGTTGATGAAACTGCTGTAACACAAAACATAAACGGCGCCGTTAAAATCGCTGCACAGCTAAACAAAATAATATTAGCATTTGCTGCATCGTCTAAACCTAATCGATTCACGTTAATAAATATGCTATTACTATTAGCAATGTTCGCGGTTCGATCGCGTAAGTATAAGGCACTCAAAAACGTGTCGATGATCATAAAATCGACAACATATAATATGAATTTTCAGCGAATTTTCGGCGATTTTATTTCAAGCCTCGATGCACAGTTGTACATTATTATGATATTATTGTCCATATCATACTATCGATCGTACACGACGACGATACAAAAGTACGAGCAAGGTGCAATGAGCACGTCGCCGACGCGTCGTCCTCGTTATCGAGCGATTATAGTAATAGTGTAATATAATATATTATTGTATTATTATTATTATTGTTGTTGTGTATCACGCGTGGCCCCCACCCTGTCCGACGCGTCTGACCTCGCAGTCCGAAAAAAATTTACGATAACGATACCGTCGCGTCGTCGTCGTCGTCGTCGTCGAGTCTCGACAAAGAAAAGAAATCCGATGGTAAGAAAAAAAAATAATAAAACCCGATCGCCGCAACCCGTCGTCGCCGTCTACTTAATATCGTGTGATGTAGCGTATACGAGTGCGACTCGGTTTTATCAGACCGCGTCAAATAATAATAATAATAATAATAATAATAACGGCGGCGGGATAAGACTACACCCATATCATATACGTATTAATATAACATAACACCGGTGTACGATATAAAATAATAATATTGTTTTACACAATAGATCGATCGACCCGAAATCGAAAATCTCGACCGCCGATCTCGTGTGTCGGTGTCGGCGACTGCGGCAGCGGCGGCGGTCGGTCGGTCGGTCGGTCGGTCGGTCATTGGATTTTATTATTATTATTATATTATGCGCCGCGGCTCGGCACGACGACCGCGACGGCGACGCAGTGCCCCTCTGGGCACTCCTCTTCCCGCCCCTCGCTGCTGCCGCTGCTCCTCCGCGCGCCAGTTCCGAAGCGACGAGACGGCCGCCACCGCCGCCGCCGCGCCGCTCCCGCAAACTCGTCGCCGGCGAGGACGACGTCACGCAATTATCGCACGAGACACGCGGTTCGTCGTGGTCCGCATTCGTTTCTTTTTTCGTCGTATTATATATTTTTTTTTTTTCATCTCGTTCCTTCTCGTTATTTTATTTTATTTTACCTCGCCGTAACGCTGTACGCGCGGCGGCGACGCGCGATACACAACCCAAACGCGTTTAGCGAAATTACCTGGACTTGTTGTAGGAATTTTCCGCCGTGAAATTCGGAGTTAGAAAGCTGACTGAACTTGGTAGCGGAGCCGTCTGCAACAGAAATAAAAAAAAAATACAACGGTTAGGTGACTGTGGTCAACGTGTTTGCAATGCAAAAATACGAAAAACGTATTATTGCGTGTGTACAATATAACTAATAACTAATAGCGTGATGCCATGTACGGTCGGCAGTTATATAAATCGGCGCTCTGGCCGCGAGTGTGTGCGGCGCGGTTGCGAGGGGGAGGGGGTGGAGGACAAAAAGGAACAAAGTCGTCGTCGTCGGTCATCATCGCGATCGGTGCGGTACGGTGCGCTGCATGTGCGTGTGTCACGGTGCACACACAATTATAATATTATTATTATAACGAGAGACTCGCGGGGCCGCGTTTCAGCGAGCGATAAATATTTGTTTTGCGCGGCGCACGCACGCATAGGTATGCGGCGCACAGCGATCGTTCGTTAAATAAAAAAAAAAAACATAAAAACCTCGCGATAATAATTATTACACGCGGCCCCGAGACTATATTATAATATATTATTATGGTCCTCGTCGTCGTTATTGCACACGTGTGTGTATGGGTGTGTGCGTGCGTATAAATAATGGTTTCGAGATAATACGGTTTAACGTGCGCTGGTCGCGCATACAGTAACGTTTTCCTTCTTTATGTATTTTTTTCCTCCCGGTTATAAAGCGAAGTAAAGGCCAGCGGAAAAAAAGGAGGAAAACTTCGAAATGGTATATTGTGTGTGTGTGTGTGTGTGTGTGTGCGCGAGAGAGGCGCGCCAGTAATAATAACGTTGACCGTCGTCGTGTGCGGTGCGCTCGCGAGTATTTACACGTGTGTGTGTGTGTGTGTGTGTGTGTGTGTGTGTGTGTGTGTCCCTCGCACACGCCGTAATAACCTAAACGCGTATATAATATATATAGCATACATATGGCACGGCGGCAACGACAGCGTCAAAGCGTATTTAATAAATATATATATATATATATTATGCTATATACACCCGAAAGAGTGTGTGACGTGGGAGTGTATGTGTGTGTGTGTGCTTGTGTTCGTGCGATCGCATGTATACGACAACATATATGTATATATATATGCGTATATGCACACAGTGGGCGGGTTGTGGGTAGGGTACGGGGTGGAAAAAAGGCGCGTACGAGTATTATTATACAGAAAAGTAAAAAGGTTTTTTTCCTCTCTAGCTGCGCGTGGAGGGTTGTTAATATATATGTATATGTACATATAAACTACGTATAAATCTCGTGAAACCGACGACGACGACGACGACGACGATATGCGCGTCGGTTGTAAAAATTTTCGAAAAAAAATCGTATATATTATTATACACATTATAATAATACATAATATATACCCCACACACCCAAAATAAGACGGCCGGACGTGTATAATATTTTGATGCGTTGTGTGTGTGACCACCGCTGAAGAAGCGGTGAGGGGTGGAAAAGGAACTCACAGAGTCAAAGGACCCGTACCGACCCACCGGAACCAAGCGTGGATGAGTGTACTGACAAACAAAAACCGTATACAATACACGCTGCACACACACACACACACACCCACAATACTATGATATTGTGGTATTATATTATATAGGTTCAGATTTATTATATACATGATATATAATATAATTATTTTATTGTATATTAATAATAAGCAATAACACATGGATGACTCACCTGCAATGGGGACGGGCCAAAGTAATTGTTGATCTTGTTTTGAATTTCAGCGGGGCTCAGCCTGAGACTCGCATGATCGGCGGCCGCTGCGGCTGCGGCGGCGGCGGCGACTGCTGCGGCGGCGACGTTGCTGCTCTTGAGGCCGCCAAGGGACGACATATTGTGATGGAGCGGGTGATGGGCAAGCTGCGTCAAATGATGTTGCAGTTGTTGTTGTTGCTGATTAAGGCTGAGACCACCATTGAGACCACCATTGAGACCACCGTTGAGACCGCCGTTGAGACCGCCATTTAGGCCGGGAACGCCATGGGCACCGCTGAGTGCAGCTGCGCTAAGACCGGCAGTGAGACTTGCGTTGATACCGGCACTGAGACTTGCGTTAAGACTCGCGTTAAGACTTGCGGTGAGACTAGCGTTGAACCCGGAGCTGAGACTTCCGTTGAGCCCGGAGCTGAGACTTCCGTTGAGCCCGGAGCTGAGACTTGCATTGAGCCCTGCATTGAGACCAGCGTTAAGGCTGGCATTAAGGCCAGCGTTGAGACCGCCACCAATCAGACCACCACCGAGCAAGCCACCACCAACATTGTTGTTGTTGTTCAAGCTCAAAGTATTGTTGAGCTGTTGTTTTTTCAGCTTGAGTTTATGATGATGCTGTTGGTGGTGATGAAGTCTCTCGGGACTGCGGCGAATTGGATTGGATACGCACGGATCTGGGCTGCTGAACCTTGACAGACTACCCTCTCGCTCATCTGTGTACGTCGATGAGTTGTTGTCTGAGCCGTCGACAGAAAATGATTTGGAATTGTCGTCAGACTTGTAGCCGTCGGATGACGTGGACGAAGACTTTGACTTCATCTCGTTATATTTGGCCTCTGCCTTCATGACGATGTCTTTGTTCTTAAACCAGCCGCGAAACGTGGACTCGGCCACGTGTAGGCTCCTGGCCACCTCGGCCTTTGAACAACCAGTCATCTTGATGCGGACCAGCGCATCCACCTTCTGGTCGATGGTGAACAGGCGCTTTCCGTTGCTGTATGTAATGGGCGAGTCCTTCTTCAGACCCACCTCCATGACGCGTTCAGTGCGTTTTTATATTATAAAAATGATAGACAATTTGTTCGAAAGTGGTCTTTAAACAGACCACTACTTCTTCCGCTACTCGTACTCCTGCAGGGGTACGTCGTCGACTATATACACAGTCTGAAAAACGAAAAACAAAAATCGACGCACGTCCGTATAATGCTCGTTCACATAATGTGTACACATAATACATAAACATAGTAATAATAAGGGGAAAATAAATATCGCAGCGTCGCGTTTTCACCCCTCTCCGGGTGAAAACGCGGGGGTCGGGGACAGAGAAGAAAAAATAGTTGCCTCCCCCGAGAAACCCGGGTGAGCGGGCG